CTGAGTGTGGTAATTGCATTTACATTGTGGACCACTATGACGATGTAGCCGAGATTAGATTGTAATTATTGCTGGCTTTTTGGTGTGCAGCCAGATATTTGTAGAGTTAAAAAATATGCGATGATCTCAGGGAGGTGCAAGTGGAGAACCACAGACACAAAGGGAGGAATTAAGGAGTTGGAGTTAAGAGGAGACGTACACAAGAAAAATGGCTGGCCAAGAAGTGAACAAATGTGTTAAAGCAGTGCTGCCCGTGGCATTGTAAATATTGGCATGCAAAATCATTCTTCTGAGATGTGAATTTCCTCCTTTAATAGGAGCTAAAGCTCATGAAAGCTGCTTCCTGATGGGGAAAAGAGTTCTTTCTGTGGATGGCTGCTGAGCCTAACTGGAAAGACGTGCTGGAGCCAGGAGCCAGCCCTAAAATCTGAGGCTTATTGTGTATGTAGATGCACCCCTCAGTGCTGACTTCATCAGGTCAGGGAGGGAGTAAGGCAGGGACAGCCTGCTGCAAGGCTCTCAGAATATCCACGTCCATATCGGATCACCTGCAGTGCCAAAACCTCTGTCAGGGGCAAAGCCTGTCACTTGGAGCCAGCACAGTCAGTAGAACAGAGATGATGCTTCTGGACCAGGGGGACTTGGGTTGAAATTCAGTTGTGCTCCGGAGTTGTCCTCTGTTCCCAGAAAAACGGAACTGCACTTATCGCATCGTCTGAATGTCCCTTGCTGGCAGGTGAGATGAAAGGAATCATAGCTAGCTACTAGGGCTGGTTTGGAGATTGCACAGGGTCACACATGGAAAGCACCCAGCATATCCTAAAAGTGATAAATGCTTGTAGCATGGACAGTAAAGGAGAGAGGGGACACCCCATCGAGAATAGGATGGACCTGCTAGGGGCGGACAGAACAGACCTAACGGCTTCAGCAATTCATTCTGCAGCCAGGTGAAGTGGTGAGTGTCTGTTCTGAGGTCACACTGCTTTGGACTTGAACTCTGCCTTCACCTGTTACTAACTGTGCGCCATTGGGCACCTGCTTGACTTTGCATCTCATGTTCCTCACCTGTAAAAGTGCATTCCAAGACTATCTGCTCTGTAGGGATATGATGGAGATTAAACTGAGATAAGGAATGTAACATAATAAGCCTTCAATAGCACAGGGGGGTGTGAAAAACGCATATTAAGAAAAAAAAAACTGTGCCTGATTTTCAATTTTTTTGACTTCGTAATATATATTTGAGGTGTGGCACAATTGCCTACTGGCTAAAATTCTCACTTTGCAACTACTGGGATCCCATATGGGAATCAACAACTAGCAACTACACTTCCCATCCAGCTTCCTGCTTGTGACCTAGGAAAGCAATGGAAGGTGGCCCAGAGCCTTGGGGCCCTACACCTGTGTGGGAGACCAGGAAGAAGCTCCTGGATCCTGGCTTCAGAGTGGCTCAGCCCTAGCCACTTGGGGAATGAACCAGCAGACAAAAGATCTTTCTGTCTCTTCTTCTCTCTGTAGATTTGACTTTCCAATAAAAGTCAATAAATCTTTTTTTATTTTTAACTAATTAATAAATTAATTTTTAAAAAAACCCATATATTTGAAATTTTATTATCTATGCACTTTTTGCATTGCCCTGCGATCTCCCAGGTTTATGGGCTGCTCCACAGTAAGGCCATGAAAAGGGTTCCGTGTTGCCTTGCACACAGAGCTGGATTTGGTGCTGTGTTCACGCGTCTGCCCCTACAGTTTTCTTCAGATTATAGCTGAGTGTGTTATGCAGTTACCCTTTGTGAGTCCCAGTTTGTTATTGTTGGTATGTTTACATTGTCCATTCTTTGAAATTTACATTAGAAAACTAATTATGCAAATTAAAGATCTGAAACGGACAGTGCAAATTGATTGTGCTGTGAATCATCATCCTTGTCCTGTGGCTACAAGGGTAGATACGCTGTGCGGTGGGACAATCGCACACGCAATGGAGACAGCTGCAGTAATTCAGTGAGCACTGCCCAGGGAGTCCGAAGAGAAACCAGGGCAAGGGTAACTGGTCAGCCAAGCGTCCTCTGGGTCTTCCATCCCATAGTCTGCTTTCCTAGCTTGTCAACATTTGCAGAGATAAAAGTTGGGAAAGGGGAGCTAAATGTGAGGCATCAGGAAGACTGTGACGGTCCCTGGCAGTTTGAATTTTTCCTTTTTTGAGTACTACCAAATGCTAAGAGAAGCTAGAATGAGTGACGCCGAGGGAAGGAAAAAAACTTCCCCCTTGAATGTCTTTAAAATCTATAATAATAATATAATAATATAAAGTGCATCTGGACGGTGCCTTCTGCTTCAGTTCGGGTCTGGCTCGCGTCCAGAGCTGTCAGGCCACTCGGAGTGGCGATGATTCATGTCCCAGCACCCTTTTATCTGAACGTTGCAGCGTCTTTGCCTTTGTACTCTGGCAGTGATGTTACCTTGATGTTCAAAAATCTTTTAAAAGCAACACAGCCTCTCCTTGCATCTTGATAAATCGTTGTCTGCCAGTAATGAAGAAGAAGTAAACCCATGATCAGTGTAAAGACCTTTTTAAAAAATGGTTTTATATTTGAAGCTCCTCCAACCAAAAAGTGAATATTCGGAAAAGCGCGGGGCTTTTCAAAAGCCTGGGTCACAGGGAGATTCTGTGATCATTGGATTTTTAAGGACAGAATTTAACATTTGTATGGAAACTTCACTCATTAGGGACTTTTAAAAAAAAGGATTTTTTTTTTATTATTATAAAGACAGATTTACAGAGAGAAGGAAAGAGAAAGATCTTCCATCCACTGGATCACTCCCCCAATAGCTGCAAAGGACGGACCCGAGCCAGTCCAAAGCTGGAACCCGAGAGCTAATTCTGGTTCTCCCACATGGGTTCAGGCTCCCAAGGTTTTTTTCCTCCACTGCTTTCCCAGGTCATAAGCAGGTAGCTGGACTGGAACTGTAGCAGCCAGGATAGGAACCAGCGCCCCTATGGGATCCCAGAGCTTGCAAGGTGAAGGATTGCTCAATGGAGCAATACCAGGCCCTAATGTTGTTTGTTTGTTTGTTTATGTGTTTATGTTTTCCAATGTTGTTTTTAAGAACAGAATATTGGGGGTCAGTAGATCTAAGTTGCTGCATATAACACCAACATCCCATGTAAGTCCTGGTACTTAGGCCCCTACCAACCACCTGCGAGACATGGATAGAGTTCTTAGCTCCTCATCTCTCCCTGTCTCAGTTTCAGCCCCTGCAGCTACTGGCGGGGGGAGGGGAGAACAACTCTCTTTCTCTCTAACTTTGCCTTTCAACTAAATAAATAAGTCTTTAAAAATAACCATGCTTGGCTTTGTGGATACGCCTTGGGCATCAGGTGCAAAGCCAATGTGTTTCTCCTGGAGTGGACATTGCTTCCAGTTCTTGGAGGCCTTTGCCCTGAGAAGGATCACGCAACCAGAGGATAAGGAGCTGTGCCAGAAGTAACCATTAGCACCAGAGCTTGGAGCAGGCAGATGGAGAAGGACAGCGCCAACACCCCGAATGCTTTATGGACCACCTTGCGTTAGAGGAATTAGATGTGTTCTTTCTAATTCCAGGCAACAGAAGTGGGATCACGAGGTAGAAATTACACAGCGGCAGATTTATGCTCAATCTAAGAGGAAACGTTCTAACATTTAGAGATGTCCAAAAATGGAATTGGTGAACTCACCATCCCCGGGAAGTGCACGGGCTGAGCCTGTCCGGCTGGAAGATTATGGGGCTTTATGGGCGCTGTATTTCAGCAGTAACATGATTTTATGATAAACCTTCGAAGGGCTCAGAGGGGAATTTCCTGGCTAGCTAAAAACAAAGCGAAGGGGCGGAGGCGGTTGTGGGCTTTGCCACAGCGATTTTAGGCTGAGAAAGTTACGTCCATAATCATTCGTTTATCACTGCGCTCCAGGAAATACTGTGGGGGAGGGGAGAAAGATGTGTAACTTGCAAGGGAGAAGCTACATTTGTACAAGACAGAAATGGAAGCGGGCAGTGTGGTGTTTGCAGTGTGTGCGCAGTGGAACACCTGCCAGATGATGTATCCATGGTTTTCCTCACTCACTAGTCACAGAACTGGGGAGAGAAATTCCTGTGATGGTTTCCATGTTCTTACTATGCAAGGGGCCAGGTCATCAAAACAAAACAAAATCCTGATGAGCTAAACTGGGTTGGTGACATCAGCAGGTCCGCCATGGGAAGCGCTCACCTGGGATCTTAAGCCACCCCCTGCTTCGTCCTTAGGCTTTGGAAGTGTTCGTTGTCCTGAAAACTGAAAAGGTTTCTCTAGGAATTTTCTTCCCGGCTTTTCGATTTTGTAACTGTAATTTCTTCCAGTGTTTTGGCCCGAATTCTTCCTTTATGCATAGGAAGTTAAAAATGGACTCGGCTACCACTAGATCATTTCTTTGTTCCTTCATTAACTCATCCATTTATTTGAAAGCACTGATTTGGTAATACACAGTTTTAGAAAAATGAAAGCTTCAGTGTATATGAGGGTACTTCAAGAACCACAGGGAAAACAGAGTTAAAAAAAAAAAAAAGCAACTGAGTATCTTAATTTTGGTGCAAGAAAGTTTTGAAGCCCAGGCATGTTTTTTGGTCATCATGCGTGTTTTCCAGAAATTTTTTTGAAAAGTGCTCTCATATAATTTTAAGAATGGAAGAAAAAAAAAATGAAAAACAGGACTTCTAAACAGTTTGTAATGGTGGAAGAGTGATCCTAATGGCCTACTTAAAATCAAGATAAAGTACTGTTTAGTTGGTAGGCTATTTCGAAGCCAGTGTAATTGAATTCCTCTGTGAAATGGCTTGTGGCTTACACTTGGAACAGCAGTCATAATGACACTGAGGGAGCACTCCTTGGACCGAATCCTCTAGCCCCACGGCTAATAGAGGATGCAGCCCCCAGCTCCTGGTACCATTCCTGTGCCAGTGATCTCATCCATCCCTCCTTCTTCCAACAGGTTCCAGAGGGGTGACTACCACATTGATGTCTGCATCAACGACTACCTGGATGTTTTCTGCCCGCACTATGAGGACTCTGTGCCGGAAGATAAGACGGAGCGCTACGTCCTCTACATGGTGAACTTTGATGGCTACAGTGCCTGCGACCACACTTCCAAAGGGTTCAAGAGATGGGAGTGTAACCGTCCTCATTCTCCAAATGGACCACTCAAGTTCTCAGAAAAGTTCCAGCTCTTCACACCCTTTTCTCTAGGATTTGAATTCAGGCCAGGCCGAGAGTATTTCTACATCTGTGAGTATATGGAGATTTTTATCTTGTTGTAGGGCGACCGCGAGAACCAAGCCCGCCTGATGTGTAACCCTGTGTTCCTCGAGGGTTGCAGAGAGCTGGACTCTGCCTGACAGATGTCTCCTTGTGAATGCACGGCTCCCACTTCTGGATACATTAGCTGGGAATTGAGAGCACAGATTAGATTAAAGGCGCAGTGCCTCTCCCCCTGTGAAATGTTGTGTCAGCCTATTCAGCAAACCGCTGCTGACTTGTGTTGCTTTTTAAATGAAAATTGCCAGGACGTCTCTAAAGCTCGGGAAAAGAAAAAAAGAAATTATTTCTTAAAAAAAAAATTTAAAGGAAATAATTAAATTTACATAGCTCGGAGTCACTGAGATTCTCACTCAGGTGTCAGCAATATTCTTTCAGTCACCCACACTTCCACTGGCGAAAGGCAAGCCTCCTGCCAGTGTCAGCGCGCTGACGATAAATGTTCTCTTTGCACCAAGGAGAAAGGACAATTATTAAGAGCAGCTGTGTCTTTATATAGGCATGTGTGTGAAGAAGTTTCTAGAAAGGCTTCCTAGGCAACTGCCATGAGTGAGCATGGAGCAATATCCCGAGAGAGAGAGAGCTGGGAAGCTTCCCTGGCTGTCCTTGTATCCGTCAGTGGCTGTTAGGTCCCAGCACCTGTTCAGGCTGCCTAGGATTACATGAGAGTAAATGCCTCTCAGACTTCACAGGGGAGCAGCTGAGGGTCATGTGGCGATATGGATTCTCTCTTGGGGGGTGGTCAGGGACCAGGCCCTGAGATCCTGTGTATACACTAAGCTACCTAATCCTGTGTGCTGGGCCGCATTTTGAGTAGCAAGGGTATAGGTGATATCTACTTCCAACAGCTTGCAGTATATCTGGACTTTAGCATCAAATATTGAAACTAGCTGGCCTTTCCCACATTCTCTCACTGTCAACTGAAGGAGGGAGACATTTATTTGTTCCTAAGTCCATTCACTGAACAGCTTAACTTGGCACAGAAATATCAGGGCGTGGGGTGCCATGTGAAAAGACCTCCCCTGGCGGGAGTGAGGACCAGTGTCGTAGGTGGGTAATGGAAGCCCATGGGGACAGTGGTGGCGTGACAGCAAGTGCAGGGAGCAGGGGTGCTGTGGGAGAGATTGTGCCTCACCTGCCTGGAAGAGCCGGGAAGTGGAGCTGCACACCGCGTGCTGTGCTTCGAGCAATCATACCCTTAGAAGTCCACTTTCCAGCACAGCTTGCCAGACAGACGCGATCAAGAACATTCCTGTTGCTTTAACTCATTTCTTCAGGCCACGGGTCTCCACGCACTTGAAACCCACACTCTTTGAATGCACAGGGATCTGCCGCTCCCTTCTCCAGAAACCAGAATTTTATCATCCACCCCATTTCATCAGCACTGGGCGCGTCCCTGTTTCTTGAATTTAAAAAGGAAATTGAACCATACTCGTTTTATTATTTCTCTGCATATTTCGTTTGTTAGTCATGAGAAAACATGCAAAGGCCTTGATACTATCTCACATTCAACCCATAAAAATCAGAAAAGGAATATTGAGTTCCTCGGATGCAGGAAATACTGGCATCCAGTAAATTCACAGGTTCTCAGGCAGGGTGCTCTTGACTTGGGATAATTTTTTTTCCCACCCTTGTCAAAGAATCCCATTGAGCAAATGAGAACAAGACAAGAGGGTGACTTCAGGTATGGGACTGCATCTCATTGATTGTCTAATTGCAAGCTCTCGGGCCAGTGTGGCAGAGGAAATTATTGCCAGTTTTGAATTTTCCTTATTAGTTTCCCCGAATAATAATAATAAAAAGCAAAAAGCGAAAATGAATAAAGAAGCACCAAGATGGGAAACATACCCACCAGCTAACTAGTTGATTGCATGATTATTAGAAATTATAGAATCCATTGAGGTTCATAAACAAGATGTTATTATTCAAGTATGCCCATAGTGCTTCTGACTGGTTTTTCCTCATTTGTGATTGAATTCAATATTTCACTAAAAATCATTATGTGTCTTCTGTAACATTCATTTAAAGGAGTCATTTACCTGTCAAGGGCTCCCATCAAAGTAATTGTTCCAAAACGCTCCAAAATATGAGAAGTCTTTTGCTGTTCAGCTGAGTTTAATTTGAATTACTTTATTATTATTATTTTTTAATGAAAAGTAAAAGGGCACAAAATTGGCAACCAAGAGCGCTCACTTACCAGAAGCACGGTTGCGTTGTGTTCAGGTGAAGTGAATTTTCAGCCATATTTTTCACCCACAAAAAAAAAAAAATCTTTGTAGCAGTGACAAAGCTGCCAGAGAGCAGGAGAGACCCAGCTGACCGGATGCCTTCCGTTGAACTTCCTGTGGTCCATAGTTAAACCTCAGGATTCCTGGGGCAGAATGGCCCTCCGTGGAGTCTCCCTGTCTCCTGCGAGGCGTGGTGTGATGAACGTGGTGGTTGGGAAGTAGTTTGTTCTACTCTGCTTCTGTGACTAGCAGCTCCGTTGCCCATCTCAAGGACAAGCCTGATGAACACCCACTGTGTCCACTTCCCGAGATGCTCTTGCTAGCTCAGGAGCGCATTTCACCTTCTCCTGGAGGAAAAAAAGCTGCAGCTCCTCCTACTGCCGGGGAAGTAGGCGTAAGTTGTTAGTGGGGAGCATGGTGGGCCAAAGTTTAGATAGAACGTGGATTTGCAAGAAGGGAAGCCGAATATTTCACAGCAACATAAACTCAAGAAGGACATGAACCTGAGAATTCTAAGTTCTGCTGTTTCCTCAACAGCGTATATTCCCTTTCTTAGCTTCTTTGAATTACACCGAGTTGCTTCCAAAAGTTCTGATAAAGTGGTTTATTTTGGTGGCCAAAAATTTCAAAATGCATGCATAGTTTTTTTCATACTATCGTACCTTCCATGAACTTTTTGAAGAAACACTATCTCATGCATGGATTTCAAGAGCTGATCTATTGCTTGCATTTTCCATGAATTTTCTGAAATGCCCTCATATGAAACAAAGAAAACCCAGCAGTTGGGAATTTTTCATACGAAGTTGCCCGTTTAAAAACAACATGTCCTACACGATGTGTTGTCCCATCCATTGTTTCTCCCAACAACACGTCTGTCAGTTGCGCATTCACCTGTTCTTGGGAGGAACCTATGAAATTGCCATTCTTGAATCTGACAAATGCTGTTTTTAATCTCCAGGAGTTATTTTGGTAGGAAATCAGCATAGTAAAGTAATTACGGAAAGTTGGTGATATTTCTGTCACTGATAGATTTGCAGACCTGGCAGCCAATTGATGAAGGCAATAATCAGGCATTTCGACTTTCTAAAGGAAAGAGTAATTTTAGAAATTTCCAAGTGCTCATTTTAGAAACTTCAAAAATACTCATTTTTAGAAATGGTTCTCATAAATATTAACCCCCAAGAACATGTTTTTAAGAAGCGTTGCTGTCATTACTTTTAAATTGTAATAATAAAAAGGGGAGCCGTCTACATCAGGACATTACAGGTTATCTTTGTAGATCCATAAGATGTGAATTTTAATTCTCCCGTTCATAAAGGAAGGAAAAGTGGACCCCTGGACTTTGCCTCAACCTGAGTGGCTTTGAGATCTTGGGGGGACCATTGAATCTCCCAAGTGTTCTAACTGCATGCATGTCAATCAGATACTGTGATTGGAATCAGTAATTTCATCTCTCCTGTGAACATCTGCAGCATTTGTGTAAGAGAGCACACCTGGAAAATGTCACAACCCACGCGCCCCTTAGTCAGTAAATGAAATCTTTAGGGAAAATGTGGAATGGAGAAGTGCATTCCAATTGCCAACCTGGTTCTCTGGCTGCCACCCTGCCCACGCCTCCATCATCAGGATCTCACCTGTGCAACAGGTTCACTGCCCCTCCTGTTCGCTCCATGGACTTTTATCCTCCCCTTTCACCTGCCCACAGGGTCTTCCACGGCTGTGCCCGTCCCTCCCCACCATGGCCTTTCTGCTTTCCTCTCCTGCCACTCTGACTTGGTCTCTTCTCCAACCTGCTCATCCTCTCTGCCCCTCACACTTACCCAGTGCACTTGTCAGGGAATTGGCACTTGTTCATGCTCTGCGCAGGGTTTCATTGCCTGAGACACTCACATGCCAGGATGTGTCTTGGCTTGTGTGCTCAGGCATAATCCCTTCAGCAGAGGGGATGCTGTGATCTTTCTCTTCAAAAGGGGCACCTGTGTTCCCACTCCGTCTCACTTTTACTGGTAAATTCTCTCTGACATGGTTGTACATGGCTGGCTTGGCTCTGTGCTGCTTATAATATTTAGGAACTAATAGATGTTCAATAAATAAGGTCAACTGGAGTTTACTCAGCAGGTACTCTACTTCGTTCTCTAAGTAGGGAAATAGTGTGGTGCCTTCCCCCTCCATTTTATGGGTCTACAAAACTGAGGCTTATACAGATAAGACGTGGCTGATCTGGATAGAGACAAAGGAGTAAACAAGTTAAAGTGGAAAGATGAGAGTCCTGGGTCTCATATACTTGAAATAGAAAAAAATACTGTATTAGAAAAAGGAGCAGACATAATAGCGTCCACACGGACACCCCTTATTTGGAGAATATTACTTTACAAACTTCTAGAAATTCTAGGTAAGATGGTAAAGAGATAAAATTTTATGCACATTTTTGCATTTTTTCAGCTCTCCAAAACACACTTCCAGCTCCAGAAGACACTATCTTCCCAGATAACTAATACAGAAAAGTTACATTTTCTAAGAAATTCTTCTTAAATGTATTGAGTATTCAGCATCCAGACTGAACCATGCTTGCACACTTCATTTGGAAACTAATGAGTTTTAATGAGACCTGCAGTATGGACAGACAAATGTCATTTGCTGAAAACACTAATAAAATGTTGGAGATTTCTTCTGTCATTTGCTCTACGCCATTTATCCCTAGAGACAGTCTATGTTGCTGGGGGTATCAATTGCACTCTTATA